GCAAGAGGAGTGGTCTACAAAGCTTCTATTACATCCTCAACAACCTCATCAGAAACACCATCAACCCAAAGGATAGAGCAGCCTCAGATATTAATGGCTATGTGAGAAATGTGTTGGCTAGATTTGCTCTAGGCGGGGACATGTTTAATGTCCCTAGATTTATGTGGACTGAGTTAAGATTTGTAGTGGAGGATGGGAGGAGGGGGATGCCCTATGCCCCTTACGTCATGTTCATGATTGAGAGGGTCACTGGATTTTATTTTCCGAAGGATGGGATGCACACCATCTACAAAATTAAGAAGACCCCGCCAGCTGCAGCTACTCAGGGAGCGGGGAGCTCTCATGCTCATGTAGATATCCCTGAGTCTTCCCGCTCTAGGTCTCGCAAAGGAGGCAAGAAGAAGAAGTTTGGCAAGTGGTCAAAGGCAATCTTCGGCAAGTGCACCTATGCAGCTGATAGAGCGTATGAGACACAGCTTGAGCAGCATTAGCAGCGTGGACATGACCTTCCACCACTTCCTCCTATTTCACCTCCTCCATAGTATGACCTTTTGAGTCTCTCCGACACAGATTTAGATGATGAGGATGATGATGAGGAGGAGGAGCAGCAGGGACGAGCAGCAGATTGGGATGAGACCCTAGAGGGATACCATCAGAGACAGGAGCCGAGGCGTTCCACTCGCTACACCGCCACTACTCACCGTCAGGGTCGTGCACGTATTGACTCCAACGACGATGATTGTGATGGTGGTGCTGGGACTGCTGCAGGAGGTGCTAGGGCTGCAGGAGGTGATGATATTGATTGGACAGACATCCAGGGAGATGATGTGTACGTGTTGATATTTCTTCTTTTCTTCTCTTTTTGGTGCTTTATGCCAAAGGGGGAGAAAATTAGAGGGGTCAACAACTTTTCAACGCCATGGTCAGCAGCGACTTCATGTCCTATTTGATGAGTGTTAGTCTTCGCTAGGTGGAAAGTTTGAGAGTCGCTCAAAACTCTAAATTATGAAATAATGCTACTATTTGACTCTTTGTGTATCGGATATGGACATGTATCGTTGTGTGGATTAGAAGTCATCCTATTGTGCTAGGTTGCATATCTTTTTTATCTGAGCTTGTTGTGTGGTGCTTGACTCTGTCTTGCTCGTACAGTCAGGTGTGGCACTGCCGCACAGCAGCAAGCACATGTGTGCATAAACTATCATTTGCATCAAGTTTTACATACATGACACAGTATGCATCACTCCACAGGAGCATGGATGTAGGGGGAGCACCATCACCTTCACTAAAATGTGAATCTTGGCTTTTTATGCTAATTTGAGAATTCAATTCTCTATTCACATACTTAGGGGGAGCCTCTACACCCATGGCCCGAAAATCTCAGTATTTATTTCATATCTTATGTAAGCTTTAATTGGGTTGTCATCAATCACCAAAAAGGGGGAGATTGAAAGTGCAATCAAACCCTAATTGAGGGTTTTGGTGATAATGACCAAGCAAGTAGAGAACTAATGAGATTTATCAAGATGACAAGTAGGGAATTTATATTCGAGGATGCTACACGAAACGGAGGAGCCCCCAATTACAGATATAGATGGCTTCAAACTCAAAAGAGGTTTAAGATTCTTTTATATCTTAAATTTGAGTATAGAAAAAGCCATACTATAAAGGGGGACACAATGCTTAAGCTAATATATACTCCCAAGTGCTCAAACAACCACAAGCATTCTTAGATTCACAGCCAAGACAGTCTACACTTCACTATTACCATTGTTGTTTTGCATGGTGCAAGCTCTGTCTCGTAGGACTCCTTGGTCGCGGGATCTGGCTCGCTCGACCCCTTGGTCACGGGCTCCGGCTCGCCCAACCCCTTGGTCGTGGGCTCCATCTCGCCTGACCTCGAGGCCGCGGGCCTCGTCTCGCCCGACCTCTTGGTCACGGGCTCCGGCTCGCTCGACCCCTTGGTCACGGGCTTCGTCTCGCCCGACCTCGAGGCCGCGGGCTCCGTCTCGCCTGACCTCGAGGCCGCAGGCTTCGTCTCGTCCGACCCTTGGGTGCGGTGTCCGTTGTGGGCTGGGGGTATATATACCTTTTCCTTTCCTTCCCAACTACTATTTGCGATTTAAGTGACCGTTGGGGGCTGCAGGGTATATAAGCTCTGTTCGCTGGGAGAAATTTGGAGGAATCTAGAGGAATTTGTGAGAGAGTGAACAGTGAAAACTAGCCACGCACAGTGAAATCCGGCTGGTTTTCACACCAGCCGAAAAACTGCCCCATATACCTTTCACCTTCCTCCCCAACGGTAACTGAATGAGCTCTCTTCTTCCTCACATCAGCACGCCCAAAACAGAGCAGGAGATCTCTCTCTCTCTCACTCACTCCATTATTGACCTCAATCCCTCAAGCAAATCCATTGATTTCTCCGTGGAGCTTGCCAACTTGTGTGGCAGCCCTGGAAGGTTTATAACCATCTCTTAGAGCTAGTAAACTCACCCTCATGTCAAGAGTTAAGTCTCTTGACTTGAGAACGAGAAAGGGCTGGAAAGCTCTAAGCCTTAGTGGCTAACCTCAAGAACGTGGAGGTAGGCAAGCCTTGTTGGCGAGCCGAACCACGTGATAAATCATTGTGTCACTTGTGCTTGATTTATATTACTTGCATGACATATTGTTGATTGAGGTGATTTCTAAGTTTGAGGCTGATCTACTTGTGTGTGGTGTTCTTACCACTTTCAGCTGTTGATCTGTGATCCACTACCCTGTAAGAAGCTAAGAAATTTACCCAATCTAAATTTCGTTGGGTAGATTTTGAACTGTGAACTAATCTCTTCTGCAGGTGCGGCAGTGCCACGCTCACAGAGCGGTAGTGCCGCGAGTAAATTTGACTTCGGTTTGAGTTGATTTTTTACAGGTCTATTCACCCCCCTCTAGGCATTCGATCCTACAGTCGGGATCTTAGAAAAGAAAACGGAAAAAAACTAGAAGATAAATTTATTGAATCTTAGAAAGTTGCTATACATAAGTGGACACTATTGATCTCAATACGATTCTACATCAAAAAGTGCTCGAAGAAGTATTTTTTTATAAGAAGCAATGGATATTATGGAGTTCTATTCTTCCTCGTTGTAATCATATTAGTTTTAGAAGTACAAATATACTGTTGTTTTAGTTTACTTTTTTTATGGTCACCGGGAAGTTTTCGCCACCTGAATTTTATTTGGCCCTCGTGGCCCGCGATAATGTTTACATTTTGAGAGAAATGGAGTTTACATGTCACTCTTGGACCGTTTTAGTTTACATTGTTCCTCGATAACTATCAAACATGTTAAATTAAAAATATATTACTGGATTTGTTTTTGGTTTACAATAGAAATTAACGTCTATATATTATAAGATTTTATACGTGGTGTAGAAGGCCTTCGGTGACGAGTTCACCAGGCGACCCTTCGAGTCACCGAGGCTCGCTCGGCTCGGCGTCGCCGGCTGATCGACACGGTGAAAACTGAAAACTGTGAGATGCTGTGCCTACGGCCTACGGCGCGGTAATTTAACTGAGTTTGGTGTTTCTTCAATCAACAAAAAAAAAAACTTGGTGAAAATAAAACAGGGTTATGAGACGCGCACATGCATACATGCAGCGACGCGGGGCTCTGCCTGTCTCGCTCCCAGACCCAGACAATGAGACAAACACGGGCATGCATGATGCATGTGCCAGAACCAGGACGACAGGAGACGACGCTACTACTCCTACAGTCCTACTCATAGCACTAGCAGTGGTAATTTTGTTATGTGGAGTACCACCAGCGATTGACTGCCGCGTGTGTACTTGCGGGACGATGTACTAACGGCCTCGGAATCTCTGTCGCGCTCGCAATTGGCCAATCGCGTTGCGGCTGATGGAACGCACAGTAACATTTTTTTTTCTTTTACTGTGCGCGACACACAACAAACATGCAATCGATGAGGCACAGAGCCACAGGCCCAGAGAGGCAGGCAGGCGTAGCGGGGAGGGTGGGTACGTACAGGGGACGCGTCGTGCCGACGTACGTACAGCAGTGCGGACATGGTGTACGTACAGTGGTGATTGTGGGTGCAGGCCGTTTCCACTACTGTAGAGAAAACGGGCGTGCACGATCATCTCTCTCTGACTGGGGAAACGAATTCACTGACCTGCTGTGTGCTGTCCATTTTGAACCGTGCAGCGGCCAGCAAAAGCCCATGTTGACGCCTGCAAAATGTGTATGCTGCTGAACGCCTTCTACATTTGGGCCTGTATGAGGGGGTAGGCCCCAATGTTTGGGCTGCAGCCCTGGTTGCCAAAGCCAGAGACGGAGAGGGGTAAATAGCCCATCATCGCCTCCGCCGATTCCGCCCCAGCGGCCCACAGGGCCCATCCCGATAGATGCATAGAGCCAAGCGGCCAAGCCCGATCTCGCGTCGAACGATGGAAAAAGAGTTTCTGTTTCTTTCTTTCTTCCACATACACGCGAACGGATTCTCGTCTCGGTCAGCTCGCTTCGTGACTTCTCTCCTCCTCCTCTCTCGATCGATTGCTTCCTCCACCGAGGCGGGGGGAAGCGCCGCCCAGATCGCCGGAGGCGAGCGGCGACCTCGCCACTTCCGAGCAGCAGCAGGTAACGAGTCTCCGCACCTCTTCCTCCCCGTCCAACTCGCCCTCTCCCGATCGGCGATTGCATCCATAGGGCATGCGGCCCCGGTCAGATCTCGCTGCCAGCGCGATCGGAGCCTGGAGTCGCAGGGTGGGAGCGGACTCCACTCTTCCTCTACGGCTGCGGCTGCGGTGCTTTACCGGGCAAGCCGCGTGCTCCCCCCCTTTTCGCCGTCCAGCCTATCCCGTTCCTCCCCCGATTCAGCCCTTCCGAACCGTGTTTCGCCCCTGATCCACCTGTTCCTATGGCCCTGCTGACAGCTTGGGGATTAGTCTGTGCAGGGAGGCTCGTGGAATCAGTTGTCGTTTTCTGGCAGTGGCAGCAGAGCACACCATGGAGGGGCTGAGCTTGAGAGCGGCGTGCTGTTTATCGGTGCTCTGCGCCGTGCTGCTGCTCTTGCGCCCCGCTGAGGGCATCCGCTTCGTGATCGACAGGGAAGAGTGCTTCTCGCATAACGTGGAGTACGAGGGGGATACTGTCCATGTCTCCTTCGTCGTCATCAAGGCTGACACCCCGTGGCATTACAGCGAGGAAGGCGTCGATCTTGTGGTAAGGACTACTGATTCTGTCTGAGCCTGTGTGTGTCCGACAGTAATTGGCAAATTAATTAATTATAACTATACATGTAACTGTTTGATTGATGCATTCTTGGGTCGTAACTAGGAAGGCTTATTGCCCCTTGATTGCTAGTTGTTCTGCTAATTCTGTCTCTCACAGCATATCAGAAGCTATAATATTGTTATTACAGCAGTCATGAAACACGATGCTAGTAATGTATCAAATTTTATCTCAAAATATATTGCATTCTCATTTCAGAACCGAGTAACTTTAGCAGTTCAAATTATGTGCCACCCTTTAGGTTTTCACCATTTTTTGTTTATTTCAGCATGTGTGCGTGCGACAAATAATGGTTTATAGAATTTGTTGGAAGTTGCCATGCATGGTTGCAGTCACTTGTACAGCAGCAACAACAAAACCTTCTAGTCCCAAGCAAGTTGGGGTAGGCTAGAGATGAAATCCAACATGAGCCACCAACGAAAGGAAATCAACAGCACCGATATAAATTTCATAAAGCCTTATAAAATACCACCAATAATAGTATTATTACTAGGGAATCTAAAGCCTAATTCGCCTTTCTCCAACACTAAACAACTACTAGGGTACAACGATGAAGTGATGAAGTAATAATTCAACAAAATTACATATCCACCTATGCTACTATTTAAAGGGGTTGCATCATAGATTATGGATGTCAAACAAATAAACGTTGGAATGCCCCATTGATCGGGATGGGGATTAGATAGATCGCTACAGTCCGATTATCAGATGGAAGCAATGTGGTGTGGGGCTTTAAGCATATGCCATGATCTGTGGAACTTAATAGCCTTAACTAATGCTGTCTGTTACTTTGTTGCATCTTTTTCTGATTGATAGATAGCAGAATCTGAAAGGGTTTGAATTATGTAGATGTAAGCTAATCAATTTGTGCAATGTAAAAGAAATTCTCTAATTGTATTTGTTCCTTTTTACTGTTAATCTTTGATAACTAATGGGTCCTTAATAAGAAATAAGAGCATCATTGTGGACCTATTGTCAAGAAATTAGTTGGCTGGTGACAGTTTCAACTTTGAACTCCTGTTGCTCTGTTAATCGAACCAAATTTTCAACTTGTGTCCTTGCTTTCTTTTGCCACAACAAAGTTTTGATGGATCAGATAGTTTGACTTAATAAGCTGTTAACTAGTCTTGTTTGGTGCTTTTTGGGCTCATTAACACAAGCACTGTGGAAACTTTCCTGGATATAGAAATTTCCCTTGTTTTACCTAACATTCCAACTGTGACACCATCTTGACTAATGACAGGTTAAGGATCCTAATGGCGCTCAAGTCCGTGATTCTCGAGATAAGACTAGTGATAAGTTTGAGTTCATAGTTCAGAAGAGAGGTGTCCATCGCTTCTGCTTCACGAATAAATCCCCGTATCACGAAACTATAGACTTTGATGTGCATGTTGGCCATTTTTCATATTTCGAGCAGCATGCCAAAGATGGTAAGAATATAAGGATTTCTAAAGTTCTATTAACTTTGGTTACTAAAAAGCATAGCACTCAATTCCTGTTTGCTGGATGTCATGCAGAGCATTTTGCACCACTTTTCGAGCAAATAGCCAAGTTAGATGAGGCACTTTACAATATTCAGTTCGAACAGCACTGGCTAGAGGCCCAAACTGACCGTCAAGCAATATGTAAGTATTTCCTTTTACCTTCTCCTTAAAAAAATACTGTTTTGAGTGTTTTTCACCTTACACCCCTGTCTTGTTTAATTTTGTACTAAATATCATGAGGAGTCATATGCACAATAGTTCTTGGGTGTTGTTTGGTTTAGAACTGTAACGCAAACGCCAATGTAATCAGAAAGCAGTGCTAACGGTAACGAAGTAACAAATCACTGACTTTGTTTGGTTTCTGCACTGTAACGTAAATGGAATCAGAAGCTGCCCGGCGGCAAGCAGTTCGGCCGGTGTGAGAGCTCTCAGCAGTCCGGCACTGAGCAAGAAGCACAAGCCCTACAGAGCTGAAGTCCATGACCAGCACCACCACTGCGCTGCAAGCCTTGGGTTGAGATGCATCTGCACCCGCACTGCTGCCGCCCTAAGCCCACCAGCTGCTGCAGATCCGTCCTTGGAGATGAATGGGGCAGTAGTCTCGCCGCCGCCGTCCTTGCCAGGTGCGTGGGCTTCCTCTGCGCGCTCGCGGGTGGTGACGAGAATGGGTGGAGGAGGGACGGACTGCGGCGCTATTGACGAGTCGCCATGAAACGCCTCGCCGAGATGATAGAAAATGACGAGTCGAAGACTATGGATGTGGGGTGCCGTGCTGGGCTATCCGGGTGCCGTGCTATCCGATTACGGAAGGTTGGGAGGCGTATCAGATTTGTATACTACGGTATCTGATTGCAGGGGATCTGATTGCGGTTGAGGTGGAAACAAACAGAATTTAACGCAAACGCTTAACAGCGTAAGTGGATTACGTTACATAGGACCGAACCAAACGCTATCTTGGTGATTTCTGGGCAGGTTTGATTAACAAATGTCATTAGTATCATGAAAGAATAGCTTAACAGGAGTAATAAGTTTGAAAATATCTAGATTGATTTTATATAGGAATTAAGGCAAAGCTGTACTGAATTTCTGTTGTGGTGAGCTAAACAAGTCTCATGCTTTGTGGGACCTGGTAAGGACATTATAGTTTCTCCTGTGTTCTGTTTTGCTTGTAGTTTTTTTTTAACGATGCCCCTAGCTTCAGTATGTGTTCTCATGCTTCCTCCTAGGCAGTGAATTGCCTCATTACATTTTAACCTTGGCTTTATCTAAGCTGCTATTAAACTTTGCCAAGCTGGTATCATCCCAAGATCTGTGAGCTAACCATCTCTCCTTGTGTGTCGCAGTGAACGAAAACATGAGCAGGAGGGCAGTCCATAAGGCGCTCTTCGAGTCAGCGGCACTAATCGCAGCCAGCGTCATCCAAGTCTATCTCCTGCGCCGGCTCTTCGAGCGCAAGCTGGGAACGTCTAGGGTTTAAGACTCTACTAGTAGCCACCATGATCATACCAACATAACCGTTACACCTGTAATCGAATGGTTGCTAGATCAGCTAATACTGCTTGTTTGTGGACTTCAGTTACATGTAATCTTTTGTGATTCCACAGATGAGAACTCTTCGAGTTTAAACCGTCAATTTAGCCTTTTTGCCTCACATTTTTTCACCCAGTACCAAGGCTGTCTGTACAAGATAGAGATTTTCTCTGCCGGTGCACCACACAACTGAATGAGTTGCTGTAGATGGAACGGCCACCGGGCCCCGGTTTTTGCCAAGGATAAGGATAATAAAATGGCTGGGCCTCCAGCCGGACACGGCAGAATTGAAGACGGCGAGGAGAATCGCCAGCCTCAGCTGCTGCCTTCTCTCTAGAAGGAAGTCTGGACTGTGGACACCACCACACCACATGTGTGTGTGTGTGTCGATGCACTTCGAGGCGAGGGCTGGCCCTGCCCCTGCCCAACCAATCTCGCCAATCCATCAGCGCCCAACCACCGTGACTGAATTCAGTTACTTCCTCCGTTAAGAAAAGGAAAAACGTAATTCTAGCTTTAAACTCTGATCGGGTTGCCGGCAGCGTTCGTCAGCTGTTTGTGTCTCCTGGGTCTCATGGTTTGGTTCGTTCTGGTAACCAGCGGTTTCAGTCAGGGCTTATCAGCCATGGTACAATATTTTTCTCTCACAACAAACCAGCACTAACCGAAGCTTATCAGCTCAGAAACCAATCAGCGAACAGGCTGAACATTCGTTGTCAGGTCAGAGCAGGTGTTCACAGAAGCATCACTTCGCTGTGCAAGTGTAAAGCAAAGATTGAGGAACCATTGGCAAGCATGAACCGATCACCGATGGAGATGGAGCGACTCCATCTGCGACGACAGCGACAGCGCCCTGTACCGTGGACCGGTTTAAGTGCCGTGCCGCTGTTTTGGTGCAGTGCGTACGTGAGCTTAGCTTGCATCTAGACTACTAGTAGAACAACACGGATCGATGGAGGGAATGAATTGGTGGACAGCAACGTGTGAACCAGTGGGACATGCAGCGTGTATACTGCCCTGTCCTCACACAGGATCCATCACTCTGTAAGTGAATCGGAACCTTTTTATATGTGCTTTCGGAACCTTTTTACATGTGCTTTAGGATGCGGATAGATGAGAGGATTTTTTTTCTACACAAACTGCGTATTACCACAGCTGTGTCCACGGCAGCCGGGAGTCAAACTCCCGACCGGGGCCTTACCACGACGGGGACGGAACCACTCGAGCTAACGCTCGCTCGCCGTGCCCACCACGAGCCTGGCTCTCAAGTCTCAACGGAACGAGCAGCTCGTCGGCAGGTCCCCCAGGACAGGAAAAACTTCCGGGCCGACGCAACGGCGCACGCCGAAATGGCCGCCGCCCCCGTGCAACGAGCCAACGAGGATGGTCGATAACCATGCACCGAGCACCGTCGCCGCCCGCCGCGCGCCCGGTGACGCGACCGCCCATCTGCATCGCATTCAAGGCGCAGGCAGGCTTGAAGCTTCGCCCCGGCTTCTTCAGCGGTCAGCGCCGCAGACGCGAAGGGCCCGCCGCCGCCGCCCGGCGCCCAAGACATCCATCCATCCAGAAGCAAGCAGGCTGCGGCGCGAGGCGAGCAACGGCTGGCGCTGGGAAAGGAAGGAGCAACGCGATTCGCATGAGCAACGGGCCAACGGCGCTGTCTGCAACGACCAGAGCGGAGCAGCGGCAGATGGGGAGGGGAGGGACACGTCGTTGCTGGACGCTGGTAGCAGGCGTACACTTGTACCGCGCGTCGCTGCGGCTGACACCTACGTGGTGTGCGCAACTGTACGTGCCGGCGACACGTACCGGGAAGGAATTAGTACTACTCTTCCCGCGCTTCAATTCAATGCGTCATCCAACGGTCACCGCCCCAATGCGCGCCCGCCTCCCGTCCCGCCGCCCCGGCCAGCCTATAAACGCCGGCCGCACACGCCGCCCTCATTTCCATTTCCCTCCTCCTCTCCCTTCTCATCTGGCACGAGCACCCAAGCAAATAAAGCCAGCGGCGACCGACGACTCGGGCGGCCACCGTACCCTTCGCACTGCCCTCGGCGTAGGCGCCAGCAGGTCGGTCGTCAGAGGAGGAGCAGCTAGCAGCCATGGCCAGCAGGAGGCAGTGGTGGTGGTGCCTTCTGGCGGCGTGGTGCTGCGCGGCGGCCGCTCTGTCGGCGGCGCAATCGTCGTCGCCCCCGGCGGCGGACCCGCTGCAGAGCAAGTGCCAGGGGGACTTCGGGAAGCTGACGGACTGCATGGACTACGCGACGGACCACGCGGCGTCGCCCTCATCCACCTGCTGCGGCGACGTCGGCGACACGGAGAAGGCGCGGCCGGAGTGCCTCTGCTACATCATCCAGCAGGTGCACGCGGGGCGCAACCAGGAGCAGTCGCTCGGCCTGCGCTTCGACCGCCTCATCGCTCTCCCCGCCGCCTGCAACCTCCCCAACGCCAACGTCTCGCTCTGCATCAGTGAGCACTAGCGCCTCTCCTCCTTACTGAATATTGTACGTCCTGACCATGCAAGGTCCTCAGTTTCCACAGGTTTTCTTTCTTATAACCGTCAGACCGTATTTATTTTGCTGGTGCTCTAAATTGGTGATTTGCTGGTTCTGATTTCACCGCGGCTGATAGAGTTGCAATCAGTAACATGATTATGCAAACGGGAAAAGACTTTGGTGGTGAATTTTGGGGAAAACAGAATATCTCAGGGAGTCAGGGTGTCCTTATGATTTGCTGCTAACATATACTAGTTCTTCTACAGTACTAAGTTGTGTCAACACTACTATAGTACTTAAAAATCATCAAACCATGGTGGCAAAGTGGGCTGTGTTCTCTAATTGGGCCGGCTTTGGGTGGATCTGATCTCCATGTCCGTGTGCCAGCCCCCATGCTCCAAACTTCCTACTGTCTAAGACCAGACCTTTGTTCAGTGCCATTTTTTTTGTTAAAAAAGAAAAAAATGATATTTTTTTAGCATAGTTAAGCATTAAAAAATTTCAGATGTTTTGCACTCTTACTGTGGTCCCAATATAAATTAATTTCTAGAATCACTTTAAGTTAAACTATCTAAGTTTAGCTAACTTGATAGAATAAGTGCTTTTTTATTTTCTATAAATTTAGTTAAATTTAAATTACTCTTAACTTAAGATAACTCTAGAAGTTGATTTGATTTGGGAGAGCATATGTTTTCGGTTAATATTTCCTGATGCCTGATGAAGTGATGATGCTCTCCCCTGTGTAATATAGACCTGCTGAACCTGAAACCGGGCTCGCCAGACTACGCCCTCTTCGCCAACGCCTCCAATAGTGAGTGCTCTCAACTCTGAGCCCTTCGTCTCACCCAATACCAATAACCCACTGGTACTCAGCTAAGTAACAACCGTCGTCACTCTTCTCCTGCAGTCACGCCATCGGCTAACCCGGCGAGCGACAGCACCGCCGGCACGCTTCAGGCTGGGATCCGCGGCAGCGTCGCGCTCGCCGTGATCTCTGCGATCGTCTCGTCAGTCTTCTGATCGATCTCCTCAAAGGAGAAGCGGCAGTTTTTACCCTGTGGATTCGTTCTCATGTTGCATTCCACTAGTCGATCAGCCTGTTCGTTTATTGCTTATCAGCCAGTCAACAGTGTTTTCCTCTCGCAACAAACTAGCTGCAGCCGGACTTATCAGTCCAGAAACCAACCAGCAAACAGGCTTTGTATTTGTACCCACATAAAAAAATAGATCCAGCTCAGACCTGTATCCCCCCCGCACCGTGTTTCATGATGACTGATGAGAATGGATGGTTTGTGCTTGTGCATCGCAATTCACAGCTCTTTGTTCTGGAGAAACGGAGTGTCAGTGCAGCAAACAATTTCAAATAATTTAGTTGTTTTACTGCTGTTTCCATCCATCCTTTAAAAGGCGGCATTTGCTATCTGCAGCTTGATGAGTTGTTGACCGTTGGTCTCCTACCTTTCTTTATGATTGATGAAACAGGAGGGGAAAACCCCCTGCTGAAATTATATATTGTTAAAGAAAGCAGAAAGTATTTACATCATTAAATCCAGACAATTTACATTGAAAGGGAAGTACTCCCTCCATTCCAAATTATAAGTTATTCTAAAAATCTTGGAAAATTAAAACATCTTAAAGTTAGACCAAAATTATAGAGAAAATTAAAAAGATTTATAACATCAAATAGATATACTATGAAAATATAATAATTAATAAAGAATCTAATTGATACTTAGTTGATACCATAAATATTATTATTTTATCATATAGATTTGGTTAAACTTAAGATCCTTTGACTCTCTAAGATTCTTGGAATAACTTATAATTTGGGACGGGAGAGTATTTGTTACTCGCTCTATGGATAACCATTGCGAATTCAGACTTAAAATAGCTAAAACAGAGTGCGACTGTGGGTTGCTGATTTTTATTTTTATTTTGTTATTTATTTTTTGAGATGATACTCTTCCTTGCCGACCATATGATTGATCACCAGCTCGTCAGAATGATCACTTCCATGAAAAATGGAACTCGTTGGTTGGGTCTACAACTACAATCTGAAGTCCGAACAGGTGCGACGCCTGCTGGATTCAGCTCGGCTGCTTGCAGTTGCAGACAAAACTGTCACCGCAACAAACAAATCAATGGTTTCCGGTACATGATGAAAGAACAATCAGATTCTTTTCTGTTTGGCTGGATTACTGCACAGAAGCAGCAGCTCTTCACCATTCACCCGGAAGCTTTGATTTGTCTTGTCCCCAGGAAACGGAAAAGCAAACTGAATGGAAGGATTTAAAGGAGGCGGCGAGGCATACTTGCAGTTGCAGGTGCTCTTCTTTGTTTGTATGGGGTCAGCTGTCTGTTCTTCCTCACTACTCACCCCTCAGATTTGATCTGAATGCTTGCTTGCTTTGCATCGGCTTTTTGAGGTTATGCCTTTCCATGCTGCTATGCGTCTCCCAGTGGTTGCCCCTGTCACTGTCAGCGTCTGTATCCAGCTACGGCTGATTGGCTGGTCATAAGTTAGCTCTAGTAGCTGCGCCGCGCATGATTGGTGACTGAACTGAAAGTTTCAACTACTACTCATCAGGGCTAATCAGACAAGATTTCGATCAAATCCGAGAGTCCCACAGAGGCAGAATTGTTCCTATCGTGCAGGCTCCTAATTGCAGTCCTGGCAGTGTATTAGTATGTAATGGTTGATGAACGCGAGCATTTTCCCCGCATTTTTATTTTGCAAATTGTCCGTTGTCTTATGTTTGCGATGCACCCTGCCTGTGCCGAAACGACGACGTGGCCGCCAGAATTTGGAGCGAGGCACGGCACGGCTCGTCGACGCTGGTGGAGTCCTGGTGACCGACGCCCGGCTCGACGCGGGTCGGGCCCGTTCGGTTATCTTAAATTCGGTTTCTTTTTTCACTCGGAACAATATTTTTCTCTCACAACATTTTAGCTACAAACAATGTTTTTAATCAATTTCAGTCAAGTTTCAACAAGTCGAAGGGGGCTTCTTTGGTTTGGGTTGGGTTGGTGACACGCTGGCACGACGGGCGGTCGCCGACGCGGACGGCAGGCGGCACACGCCACGAGCCCACGAGACGGGATGACGCCGGCGACGACAGAGTAGGAGGAAGGAGCGTTTTACCCATGTCGTGTCGTGCGCTGCATTAATTGGTTTGGTTTCTTTTGTTTTGTTTTCTCCACGGCTGGCCTGAGACTGGCAGCTGATGCGCGCACGTCTCGGCCTGGCTGGATCACGATCAGTGGATCACGACGACCGGCAAGGCATTTTTTTCGTAGCGTAATCCCGGATAATCGTCGTCTTGATTAACTCCGTGGATCGCTAGTAGTATTAGATTGCAGAGGTTAAGGGCTAGTGGTGATTACTTGACCCTAATCCTCGAGATGATGCCCCCTGGTCTGCTCTGGTCGCCCTCTCAGGCGACGATGAATCCGCAGCTGGCCGTGGAACGGTTGTGAGCTAGCTAGGCCCATGTGCTGGCCCCATAATTCGCGTACAATTCTTTACACAATCTGCTAAGGTATTAGGTAGTACTCAGCAGAATTCTTCCTTGTTTTTTTTTCTTCTGTCTATGATAAACAAGATCAGTAGGATCCAAAATCTGTTGTAATTCTTCTGTTCAGTTTCATTTTCTTTCTTTCCTTTTATGTTTCCTAAGCCTGGGGGCAAGACCTTTGTACCTACTATTTTTCTTAAACTTTAATAAATTCTTGTAGGGGCGAAAGCCCCTCCAATTCTGTCAAAAAAAAAAGATCAGTAGCTGCTTAGAATCATGATGACTTAAGCCATGTTCGCTTTTCTTATAATATGTATTTTTCACTTGCGTTAAGATCATAATAAATCGGTAGGAGCGGTTTGGTTTGACCTTCGTTTATTGTCACTTGCGCTAAGATCATGGGATGGATTGACCTTTCGGGTACCACCACATGGCACCCGCAATGATGAGCATAACTGCTCTGCTCATCACAACAGACCGAACAGCATAACATAACGGCTCCTGGTCCCGTCGCGTGCGTGCGTGGGTGACGCGTTGCGACGCTGAGATGCAATCTCTGTTTGGTGGTGATCTGATCACCCCGACCCCACCCGGTGCTCACATAGTCACATTTCGTAGTCGATCATTGTGGTTAGACGGCGTAGGCCGTTGCATACTTCAGACACCTCGAAGTGGAGCCCTGTGAAACAGCTCCGCGAGAACGGCCTCAGTATCCAATTCAAGAACCTTGAAAGCCAGCTTATTTGGTTTATTTATTTTTAGCTGAAATAGTGTTTTTTCTCACAACAATTTAGTTTTGACTTATTTTTTCAGCCAATTTTAGTATCCAATCCAAGAACTAGAGAGCTAATAAAGCTATTTTTTTACATGACAGAGGTGAAGTCAGTCTGACGCCAATCTCCTTTCTCTTTTTTCCCCTTCTTCTTCTTACAGACAGAGGTGAAGTCTCGCTGACTTTCTCGAGCCCCGTTGGCTTTTAGCTAGGTAGGGTCTTCTGGGCATCTGGGGTTTCGACTTTTTGTTTCTGCTAAAAGAGGGCACTACTGTGTTACCGTGTTGTTTCTCGCCCTCGCACTCGCACTCGCACTCGCACAGCAGCCTGCACTCCCGTCCGCGATAGACGGCCGGCAATGTCTGTCCCGCTCCTGAGTCGTTGCGCGCCCGGCGCGCGCCTGCCCGTGGTCCACCACGGCGTATCAATTAATGTCAGGTGGCAGGCATGATATGATCCGTGGAAGAATTAGCAATCGGCGAGAAATTTTAATATTCAACCCCAAGTTGGCAAGCCTATCTGATATCGAATTCGCAAGCCTTTCAATATTTAACTATGCACATACAAATTATTTCAATCCGAGGAATTTATGTGATTTCCTCTCTTTTTCTAATTTCAAATACCTCTTCTCACTCATCATGACATTGGAAATGACCAAAGTACCCTTGCCTCCTTATCCTATACTGGATCGGGCGTTCCTTTCTGGTTCGTGTTTCTTCGTCGGGTCGTCGCGACCGCACGGAGCAGCGAGGCCGCTCGCGGACGCTGCCGCCCAACCCCGCCCGCCGCCGGCGGCCGCCCGGTTCCCCTCTGCCCACCCAGGTCCCTTCCGCCCACGGCCCTTCCCTGGCCCGTCGGCCTAGGGTTTGGGGCGACGTGCTCGTTTATCGCTGTAGGTCGGGTGCCGCCGGTCTCCCTGCTGGCGTCGCGCCAGCAGGCTGTCCTCCCCCTCCGTCTTGATGGCTCCTCCTGAGTAAGCCCCCAATCCTAAATCTCTCTTATGAGTTTTGCAGTACCTGTTGATTTTGTGTCTCATTTATTTTTTTGTTGGTACACACGGTAGAGTCGATCCGGATGGCACATTTAGGTTGTGCGTTCAGTTTTCTCAGTTCACTGCTAAGTTCAATGATGGTCTCTCTGTTGATGTGCCACGAAAATGTGATAAATGGGTTGTGGATTGTTGATCTTATAATTTGGATATGCTAGAAAATGACATGAAAGCTAGGCTCGGGGAAGCGGGCAGTAGCCTGTAATACATGAGTTTGGCATGAGTGGTGGTGGAGAAAGAAAATTGCTAAATGATACAGAACTGTTCCTTGCATTTTCTAAAAGGATGGGTGACAAGAAGCTGTTCTTGTTTGTTGATGTTGAGGACAAACCCACAGAAGTGTTTTGTAGCTCTGTAACAGAGGCAGCAACAAGCAATGTGGGGCATGATAATGTCACAGGACCAATAGATTCAAGCAAGGAGGCATCAGTTTCTCATGCAATCGATTGGGATAGTCTGGAGATTATTCCTCTTGGACAAGATCAAATTATTGGTGCCGCACTTCCTGTGATGGATGAAGATGCAATGTATGAGTTTGTTGGCCTTAGGGCAGAGGATGAGAGGGCTGAGCAAGCTAGGATGGCTGCTGAAATTAATCTTGATGATGTGGACCTACAAGATGCAGAGTTGTTGGTAGATGATCGTATACCTGGTGATGATTCTGTGTTATATGACAGAGAGGACCCTCCAATGAAAGCAGGAACCATATATGCTAGTATGAATGAATTCAGGGCTACAGTGCGGCAGCATGCTATAAAGGGACGATTTGAACTTGCAACAGAGAAATCTTGCAAAGATTTGTTCAGAGGGCACTGCAAAGCTGAGGGTTGTGAAAGGTCCTTGTTTGATTTTAGTAATTGAGTGACAATCTAGGTGGACTAATTGTATTTATGTGAGATACACATGTGATTAGTCCACAGGTACATGTGTGTGAGCAACATATGCTATGGAGGTGGAAATGGCTCGGAGATGTTGCAAAGCTCACACATGTGATGATAAAGGAGCTCATTGCACATGAGACATGACATTGAGTTATGTGATCAAGGTGGAGAAGATCAAGACATGACTTGGCTTGATGGACTGGTTGCAAGCGTGAAGGGCAAGTTGGAGGCTTTGGAGTGACGCACCGCGTGGCGGTGAAGCTTGAGCAAGACTTGACGCCGATGGACGAAGGCAACGGTGAAAAACAAGTAAAGTCAAGATCGATGAACCAATATGATCACGTGATGATATGAAGTGGATCATATCATTGTTGATCGTGTTGGTGCATGTGTTGCATCGACATTGGAGGAGATGGAATGGAATGCACAAGGCAAAGGTATAACCTAGGGCATTTCATTTCACCGGTCATAGGTGTGTAGAGAAATTTATGACCGGGTTTAGGATATATGGCCGTACTATCAAGAGGGGCAAACTTATTTGCATATCAGTCATCTAGTGCCACTCGAGTGATCTAACTTTGCATCGTCACTAGGATCGAGTGGTGTGGCAAGTTGAGTGGCTAATCCTTTAAAAAATGATTATGAAAATGCTAACACACATACACATGGTGGTGTGCACTTGGTGGTGTTGGCACATTTACAAAGGAGAAGAAGTTGGAGTTGATGTGGATCAACTCGGTGAAGAAACAGAGGCAAAAGGAGGTCACTGTGTGACCGGACGCTGGCCTCAACTAGACCGACGCGTCCGATCAGTGGCAGCAGTGAAGGCGCAGGCGTCGGTCTTCGACCAGACGCTGGGTCACTTCATGACCGGACGTGTGGTGGGTGCGTCTAGTACCGCTGACGTGGCGGCACAGAGAAGAGGAGAAAGATTGAACGCTGATGCTGCGTCCGATCGTTATCTACCAGACATGTCCGGTCGCAGTTGAGCGGCTCTGGGAGCTCTCTAGACTTGACCGGACGCTGCCCCTTCTGCGTCCGGTCATGATCAAACTGATGAGTCTGGTTGTCGTTTGGCTCTCTCGGGACCTCTCTGGAAATGACCGGACTTGGCAGATGTGCATCCGATCTTGGCACTGTGCTGCGTCCGATCATCACTTGATCGTTAGCGCGTGGAAGCCGACCATTGAGATTAAGCGACTAAGGTTGAATGGAGGCAACGCGTGGCATGCATCCGTTGATCGGACGCTGGATTGGGTGCGTCCGGTCGATAAATAGAAGTGTTGATCGGCCTTTGGACATAGGGGAGCACACTAGAGCCTTGGTGGCTTATGTGGTAGTGCTTGGGAGCCTTCCAACTCACTTGAGCTTGATAGTGATCATCCGATCGAGTGAGTGAGCGATTCTAGTGCGATTGCATCATGAGGTTGCATCGAGTGGCACTAGGCATTCGAGTTGCAAGCCGGTGGTGCTTTTACTCTTGGAGGTTGCCACCTCCTAGATGGCTTGGTGGTGGTCTCCATCGAAGCCCGCAAAGAAGCTTGTACGGTGCTCCGGAGAAGAGCTTTGTGAGGGCGATTGTGCTCACCCCGCGGGAGCCACGAAGAGCAACTCTAGTAGAGCGAGACGCAAAGAGCGACAAGTGGTCCGGCTAGGTCAAGTGCTAGAGCTTGTGGTAAGCACTCCACGTGGGAGAGTGTGACTTGTGGGTCACCACTAGCAAGAGGACCGGCGACAATCTTGGAGCTTGTCTGAACGAGGACTAGCGTGTTGGCAAGCACGTGAACCTCGGAAAAAAATCATCGTGTCATCCTTGTATTCCTGTTGGTTTGCATCCTCGTTACACAAGCTTGTAATTACTTTCATATACATTGTGCTTGTGTAGTTGCTTTTGTAATTAGTTAGCTTGTGTAGCTTGCTAGTTATCTTCTAGCTTGTGTAGCATAGAAGTAGCTCTCTTGCGTAGCTAATTTGTTTTGTGTAACCTTGTTAGTCATATTGCTTAGTTTGTGTAGCTAAGTATTTGCGCTCTCTAATTTGGCATTGGTTGCCTTGTTATTGAGCATTGCTAGTGAGCTTATGTGGCTTTGTGCTTTTGCTTACTAGCATGTGTAGGAGCTCCCTCGTTGCTTTAAGTACTAGTGGCATAGGTTTGTGTGACCTTGCTTCTAGAATTAGTTAGGTGAGCTCTAGCTAGCACGACACCTTAGTTGCTTAATTAGGATCTTGGCAAGGTGCTAGAGAACATAGATAGAGGGGTATAGTCTTGGCTAGACCGATAGTTTTAATTCCGTACTTGTTTCAGTTAGCCGATGCGATTAATTTTAGAAAGGACTATTCACCCCCCTCTAGTCCGCCATCTCGACCTTTCAGGTGGTATCAGAGTTAGGTCTCTCATTTGTGGTATTCACCGATCCGAGAGGATGACGTCTAGTGGGCTAGATGTTTGTGAGACATATATTTTTGATGGCACAAACTTTGCACTTTGGAAAAGTCACATGCTTGATCATTTTCGTGTAAAGGGACCTAAGTTTTGGTGGATTATCACTAGTGATCTCACCCATGTCTTGGATCATAGAAATCTCACCAAAGCTCAAAGAGTTTTCTGTGAACTTGACGCACATGCTTGTTGTTTTCTAATGGATGCATTGAGTTTTGATTTGGTGAAATAAGTAAACTACACAGGAACTGCTCGTGAGATATGGGAGTCCATCAAGCGCACCTTCAGTGATTCCTCCACATGGGATGATGGCAAGTTCAAGGAGGATGAGCCCAAGAAAGTGGCGCATGAGGATGTTGAACATGACCACAACTTGGTGATTGTGGAAGATCGTTCCACCTCATGGTCAAGTGATGATGATGATCGATCTACCACAAGATCACTTGACAAGGTTGATGATGATGCCACAAGTGTTACACATGAAGATTCTACCTCAAGCATACTTGGTGGTGATCTTGATGATGTTGGTTCATGCTCAAGCCATGATGATGATGCTACTACAAGCTCTCCAACTATATCATATTGCTTCATGTCACAAGATGACACTAAGGTATCTAATGCAAATGTGGTTGATCATGTTGATTCATATGATGAGCTTGTTAGTAGACTTGCTAGCATAACCATGTCTTTAGAAAATGAGAAAGCTAAAAATTGAAATTGGAAAATGAAACCTCATTTCTAAAGAACTCATGTGAAGAACATAAGAAATTACTTGATGTTATTAAATCTTCACATGGTGAGCTAAAATTAACTCATGAGACACTACTTGCATCTCATGAAGAATTATTAGAACAACATGCTTCTCTCATTAAAGTATTTTCAAAAAAACTTAAAAATAATGAGAGCTCATCATATGAGTCAAGTGATCAATTGCAACATGTGACTAACTCTTGTGATATAGGGAAAAAGCATGTATCCACCTCTTGTGATGATTTATTAGAAATGACATGCTCTTCACATATAGATGCTTGTTCTACTTCTATGTCTTGTGAGACTAACCTTTTGAAGGAGAACAATGAGCTCAAAAGTGAAGTGAAGAACTTGAGCAACAAGTTAGAGAGGTGCTACAACTCTCAAGTCACCTTCGAGCATATGTTAAACAACAAAAAAAGCTATGGTGACATGAGTGGCATTGGCTTCAACAAGAGCAAGATCAAGGGCAAGAGATAGGGCAAGAGAACATATGAAAGAGAGATGAAGAAACAAGAACAAGAGAAGCTCTCTCATTTTATGTGCTTCAAGTGTCATGAAGTGGGACATTTTGCAAATGGTTGCCCTAATAAAGAAAAGATCAAGTTAAAGAAAGAAGAAGACATGCTAAGGCATGTCAAGTGCTTCAAGTGCCGCACATGGAGTCATCTCACCTCTATGTGCCCAACCAAGCAATTGGTGAAGCAACAAGTGAAGCCTCAACCAAAGCCACAAGTTGAGCAAGAAAAGACACCCCAAGAGCAAATCAAGATCAACCATGATGGTAGTGATTTGATGATAAAGAAGAAAACTAGAAGGGGTGGAAAAGCAGGAGAAAGAGCAATGCGTCCAAGGATGAATCAAGATGCAAAGCAAATGAGCAAGAACAAAGAAGAAAAAATAGAGAAGATTGCTCACAAGAGATGTTATAGTTGTGACACATTGGGCCACTTAGCCTCGGGTTGTCTAAACAAGCTTGAGAAGATGGCTCAAGCAAACAAGGAGAAGCAATGCAATGAGAAGCACAACATGAGCAAGGAAGAAAAGGCTCAAGCAAAGAGAAAGTGCTACTCATGCCGGAAAAGGGGACACATGGCTCATTCATGTCCCCTAGTTAAAAATTCTAAGCCCATTTCAATTGATGATCATGATGTGCTTAGAAAGGATGTCAATGGTACCTCATTGGTTGCAATTGCAAAACATCACGCTATTCATACTAAGGCTATGCCTAAGTATGTTGCACCTAACTTAAGAGGACCCAAACTAGTTTGGGTACCATCAAAAAGAGGATGAATGATTGTAGGTACCATTGACATTGGAGACTTGATTCAATTGATTTCATATTGATCATCATATATTGAGTCAAGTTATGAAGCTTAGTGCAATCCTATCCTAATGCCAAGCCAAGAATTAGTGAAGTCCAAAAGTTCTACAACATACAAGTGTCAAATTCAAGTTGTTGGTGATTCATTGGATATATTAGATGGCTTGCAAATATTTGAGTTGAAGCTTACTAGTTGGATGATCATGAGCTAACCAAGGTATATCTCTTGTTGATCATTTCATTTGGGTGCATATGAG